TTTTGTCAGCAAATTGAAAAGAAATTCAGAAAACTACCTCCTACGCTCGAAGGGTGACCTTAACTCAAAGACGGTTGTTCCCACTACAAAATCACTTATATCTATCAAAATATCGGTGACAAAAAACATATTTTGTGAACAACTGACGCAGAAAAGCTTAAATTAAGCGAAGAAGAGTCTCTTAACTTTGAATGAAAAATATTATTTTAGCAAATAAATCAAACTTGTACCTAAAGTCGTTTAAAAGAAAGTTGAATGTTGTATACCTTAGAGACTTCAGAGACCTTACAAATAATTGTTACTTTTGTCAGTGACCTGAAAATAGAACCCAGTTAATTGTGATTGAGTTGACAATAGCACAAAGCTGATTCGGAAAGCAAGATGGATTTTCCAAAAGAAGAAAAGAAAGGAATGAATGCAAAAAAGTACAAAACAGACGATTCTTTACAATAGCGCTTTATTACCATATTTTTTTTGTTATTTTTAAAAAAGATTTGAAAACGACTTTTTATAGTTTTTGTAAACATATATCTTGTGGTTTAATCTTCATATTGCCAGCCATCCGTGAAGTGATTGATTAAGAGTACGGGGTATCACCACCCCTAATCATCACATGGGTATCGTAAGAGCCGACTAAGGGAGTAAACTATGTGGAACAACAGCAGTCTAAAAAGAAGGAAAACTAGACACAAACCTATACCCGTCTTTCTAAAGAGAGGCCATGTCTGGACATAGGCCTCTCTTTGCTGCAGGCAGAAGACTATTAAAGGTGATGATGATGATACATATTTTTATATTTATCTAAGAAAAACTTTTTATGTTAACGGGCACACAAGCCTGTCTGCTGGATGATAACTGACAACCTCCGCCCGTAGACAAATGCAATTTAAATGTTACAAGTACGTTGGTAAGCTTTAGATTAAGATTAGGTCACGGAATCTTTAATGCTCAATAAAAGGTCAATTACCTACATTTATTAATTAACTCTCTTGCCAGTAGCTTATAATCAAATATAATATGGGGCTTTCGTCAAAATCCGTCCCTTTTTCATTTATGAAACTGGTTTGCCTAAAATTTAATTTTCGAACAAACAAAAATCTAAATAAAAATTAGTTCAAAACAAAGTACACTCAGCGGCACAATTTCGGAGCTACTGCTCTCAAGTGTCGGTTTAATATATTTTGAGGTAGTTTTGTTTTTTATTTATTGCCTACTTTTACCCTGTTTTGATAAATTACTGGCTTTTTTAAGACAAAGGAAAATAATAAACCGGTTCAAAGATATGTAACATTCCTTGTATGTTGTTTTTTTTAGACACTGATGTTGAATTTATAGCGTATTCGAATATCTTAAAACCGAATCTCAATTTCTCCCGAAAAAAATTTACTAAAACAACTTGAGGTATCATGTGAATGATGCATTTAGTCATGACAAAATGAATTCATTACTAAATCAAGTAGTTTTAGTAATAAATGAATACTGATCACCTTTACATTGAGTGACACATGGACCCTTCCATTCAGTCAGGTAGCAAAGTCAGGTATTAAAATCTCGTAATGTTTTTTTTGTATCCTCGTAAGTTGAAGTTGATGTTGAAGAAATTTGATGCATAACGTAGTCGGTATGTTCTAAGATTTTTCTTAGATTGTCTTCGAATTTTTGCTGTTTCGCTTAGAATAATATTGCTCACCTCATAAAAGCTATTAAAAATTTTATATCTTTGGCAAACTAACAAGTCATCTCGGTTAGAAGTTTACCGATTACAGCCTTCGGCCTGATCTACGTATGTAAGAATCTACCTCTCGATTTCGTTTGAATAGGCAGTTGTTTGGGGTAGTAGTGAACATGATAAAATAGAAATTTGAGCAAATCACTTATATCTTGAATAACAATTGAAAGAAATAAAGATTTTGTTTTTCTGTTACAAACACTCTAAGGCCATGCAGATTAGTCACTACAATAATCACAAAAGAAAAATGAATAAATAATAATAATAAACGACCACCATCTACAGCTACATAACAAAGAAAAAAAAAAAAAAAAAACATACTTATATATTTAAATACATACTTAATATAGATAAATTACACCCAGACACAGCACAAATGACCGTGCTCATCACACAATATTTGTCCTGGGTGGGAATCGAACCTACGACCTCCGGCTTAGCAGTCAGAATCAATAACCACTAGACCAACAGGCCCGTCAAAAATAAATAAAATAAATTACTTGCTAAATAACTATCTAAATTCTTGTATCCTATAAATATAACCGTGAGTTGCTGCCAATTTACGCATCTAATAAGCACAAGTTCTTATTTTAGGCCACTCAGTCACGCAATCAAGACAAAAAACTCGACATTAATTGATTGTTTAAGAGCTGTTTCCAGTGGTCCAAGAACAGGCCCCTATGAAACACCTCACGACACCCGACCTCCAATATAACTAAGTATAGATACGGCCTACTAAGATTCTTAGATTATTCATGGACTTTATTGAATCCTACCTTATTCACGTCGGTGTGGTGACGGATTAAGAATACGGAGTGACACCACCCCTATTCATCCCGTGGGTATCATAAGAGGCGACTAAGGGAGCTAACGTAGGACAACCAGCACTGTAAATAGAAGGAAAACTTGACACAAACCCTATACCAACCAGTCTGGCCAGCGTATAGTAGGCCAAAACCTAGAGAGGCCTATGTCCAGCAGTGGACTGTTAAAGGCTGTTGGTGATGTTGATGTGATACCTTATTCAGCCATACCTAATTTCCTCCTATTATTGCTTCGATTATTCCTATTTACACAACATAGCGAAATCTCCTGTATCTCTTTCTTATTCATTTTTAGAGATAGATACTCGTATCGAATGTAGATGTATTTCAAAGAAGAAAATGTGTCAAAAAGGTTATGATCAATAAAATACCACACCGCGTAAAAAAAATTAATGGCAAAATTCATTTTTAAACCAAAAATACTGCATTAAATGAAAAACATGTATTCAATTTACATTTCTATTTTCTTTATCTTTGTATCTGACGTGAATTTCTGGAGTGCGACTTTGATAGGTTTATTTTGGATAAATACTTCTGAATATTTTAGAAAAGCAAAATTTATTAAATCTAGTCTAATTAATTCTTATACTACCAGTCTACACACAGTAAAAATGTCCTGTGTCAAACGTTCATAGCTAATTATCGTTACCAGGAATGACCAGAGTCAATTGGTACCATCGTTAATTTTCATATCGTTCTGATCATTCATTCGTTCATATGCTTCGGTCAAATTTATGGCGGTATTTTGAGAGACGAGGTACATCGTTCGTTTATGAATGTTTTCATCGTAAAGTGAAATTTCTGTGGTTTCGTTTCTAATATTAATTGATTAAAAAAAAACTCAATCAATTTATAATCAGTAAGTATGTATATTAATTCATACAAAAATAGATTTCAATATTATTTCCTTTTCAAAGTAATAACATTGAAACCTGTTTGAATGAACCCTTGATATTGAAATCGATGTTAATTTTGGTTCTTGAAATGATCTCTTGGTCAGTGCTAAGTAAGTCGTGTGGGCGTGTAATTTAAATTAAATTATTTCATTGAAATTATTGAACCATCACTTATTTTTATTTGATTTATTCTTTTCTTCTACTGTTTATATTACTATCAATGATTAAGGCTTAGTTATATTGATCACTCAAAATAAACAAACGGAACGAAATCGGAACGAGTATTCAGTTTTTTCATTTTAATCGTCTCAAAACTCAACTCGAATCCAAAAATCGAAACGAGTACATTAGATAACTGTACTTTAAAAACTATCAGGGACAAACGCTTATGACATTAATTAAAGAAGATATAACAGACCACTATTAATCTATCTGAGTACCTAATCTGAGTACGTATCTTCTTAACATAGTATAAAATGAAGTCGCTTTTTGTCCTTGTACGCTTAGATCTTTAAAACTACGCAACGAATTTGAATGTGAATTTCACCAATGGAGAGAGTGATTCAATAAGCGAGTTTGTATGTATAATACATATCATAGTAGAGGACACTTTTGTGCACTTACATTGCAACCAAACCTTACTAAATAGATTAAAAGAATGCACTGCGGAATTGTATAACTTAAAAATATCTCCTAAGGATAAACCACAGTTACCACTTTTATCTTTTACAAAATAAAATGGGTTATTTACGAATATATTTTCAACAATACAGTACTATTTTGAAAATCGATGTGTTTTATAATTTTGACGACCCGATGGCGTAGTGGTTTGCGTAACGGACTGCTATTCTAAAGGTCGGGTTCGATTCCCGGTTAAGTCAAACATTTGTGTGCATGAACATTTAATGGTTGATTTAGTCTGGGTATTTCTGTATATAATATGTATGCATTTACAAAAAAAAGTAAATATGTATTTATATCAGTTGCCTAGTACTCTGCTTAGTTTAGGACTAGATGGCGTTGTGTGAATGTGATAAAAAAAACCTTATCTAATTAAATACGTTGGGTATGTTGAACATATAATATAGATCTAATTTGCACTTTACAGCATATCATTAAAGTGAATACCTAGGAAGATATCAGAGATTTAAAATACGAGGGCAAAGTGGTCGTCGGGCCGTACGTCAGTCCCCGGTGGCTCTACTCCACACTGACACCACATTAGTGGTATTAGTAGTATCTACATTGCACCCATGTGAAGCCGCTAGTCGCTAGTAGCTTCATTAATCTCTAAATTGAATTGCTATCAGAAAAAGCATGTGAAGTTAAGTCTATACAAAACGTATGTTTTAATTACGAGTTAATTAAAGTACTAACATTTCCTGTCTTATGTTCCAGGATAGTCGGCACTGACGCCGGCCTGGCATGACGCGCCAACTTCGTCCCGCCTTGCCCCTATACCTTAACACATCCCTCTACGATCCAATCCTTAAAGTACTCAACACTCTCCTCTCCCTTTCCTTTCTACTCATTCCAATCGTGAATACACAAATGGTGACCCCAAACAGTATCTACGTTGGTAAAAGCAAGAATATCTCGCCAGAAATCAATGACAGTTATACTAAAATAGACAAATATATAGTAACCTCTAATGTTAATGAAGGTAGCGAGCTTATTAATACTGTAAGTAGCAAAAACTACCAAACATTAATCGATAGATTTAGGAGAAAAGATCTCAAAACAACAGTAACCACAGATGTTTCTAAGAACGCTTTGAACATTGAAGATGATTATGACATCAATTTCGAATTGGAAGACGAAAGTATTGCTAGTAAATTAGATAACAACTCCATGGAAAAACTAAGATTTGATGAAGCAACTAGGACTAAAATATTCAATGATTTTTCAAAAACTGTAAAAGGTGTAAGCAAAAACCAATCTAAATTCGAAACGCCTGAAGACGTGACGATACCTAATAGGAAAGAAAAGGTTGATCAGGGAGATACAAATGTCACAGATGATCTGTTAGAATTATCTATATTAAATCCTACGTCCTACCAAATTCCTTCAAATACAGGAGTACAACAAACACCACGGACAGGATTTCTTGATGGTAAGTACGTAAATTTATTTATTTATTTAGATTTAAATTTATTAAGCTGTTGCCAGAGCTTTTTTTTTATTTAGAATACGTATTTCTGTTTTTTCCATATCACCTGACCTGATCAATAAAGATGATACACGCCTATAGAAATCTGTAGTCTATTCTTAAATGTACCACGACTAATAATAGGGGTTAAAGTATGAAATTGCCGTGTTATAGTAATAGATACTTTGAATTGACATAAAACCTTCATACAACCTGCGTTTGGTGAGGAAATTGCTAATAAGCGCACCGTGCATTTTTAACTTCGACTTAAAGAACGAACCACGTGGAAGCGCGCCCACACAAGTTAATAACGTTTAATTGAAGTAGATGGTGGAAGACGATGCGAGTCAAACCACCTAGGAATTGACGGCATTCTTTCCAGGAGGTAGCATGTACAAAATGCTTTTACACGGTCTGTCGAATCTAGATCTCCAGAGTTCTATCGTAAAGGCATAAATGAATGCCTTTACCATATAACAATGATGTCAGCAATGTATAGATAGTGGGGGTTAATATTTTGATTAAATAAATATATAACATCTTAGAAAAAAACGAGTTTCAATTTTTCGCTGTTGATGATGATGATGATGATGATGATAACGATAAAAAGAATTTTGGAAACACGCACTAAAGAATGATAATAATAATAACTTCTTTTGATGTCTACTATGAAAGTGCTTAACTTCTATCTACTGCGTCTTGTGATGAAGCTTATGAGTTTAAAAATCCCTATCAATGAGTATTCATTTGTCGTCCTTTATATTTATGGATATTATATGTCATCATCATCATCATCAACAGCCTATAAAAGTCCACTGCTGGACATATGTCTCTCCCTAGAAAGGAGGTTTTGGCCTACTATACCACACTGGCCAGACGGGTTGGTATAGGGTTTGTTTCAAGCCTGCATCAGGGAAGCACTCCACTATCATGGGGTGCCAAAGTACCTGAGGCGGCTACTGGCAGACTACTTAGAGGAGCGTACCGTCGTGTACGAGGACCGAGAGGGTAATTTGAGGTGTCGGCCCATGTCGTGCGGTGTTCCACAGGGGTCTGTTCTTGGACCCCTCTTGTGGAACATAGGGTACGACTGGGCCCTTCGAGCCATGTATGTGTGTGTGTCACCCACGGTATGAATAAGGGTGGTGACATTCCGTATTCTTAATCCGACACCACACGGATGTTATATTATAATATGTCAGTCAGCTTTAAATTGATTAACTGAGCAATTCTAAAAGATACATCACACTAATTTGTAAGCAATGCTCTTTTAAATTAAAATTAGGCGATCGTCTTATCTCAAAAGAGTCCCACTGATATATAATTAGATTGAGACGATGTCGTTATTGTACGGAAGGGTTGGCTAGATAAAATGAAATTTCGACTTCAGCCGAGACAAGGAGCTGTAATTAACTTATCACGCTCTATAAGTGTTTATTAGAGCATTTCTATCGTCGCTAAATTTACTTGTTTCGTGACGTCATGAAAATTAAAATTCTGTTTTAGGTGTTGATTTGTTAGAATGAGTTTTTAGTACTGTATATAAAATGAAGTATATATTAAAACGTTAATTCGAAATTATGTTTGACAAATATTTGTGTGTTGTGTTTGCATATTAGACGAGCCTAATGCTTCTGTCAATTTAAAACATAATAATAATGGTGGTAATAAGAAAATTGAAAATTCCTTTCTAAAGAGAGGCCTATGTCCAGCAGTGGACTATAAAAGGCTGTATGTACACATAACATTTACAGCCTTTAATAGTCCACAGAATAAGAAAATTGATAGGAAAATCTTTAACGATACATTGGTACCGTTAAATTATACCCAAATATAATAAGCATTTTCTTTGTATTATTATATATTTCATTTCTTTTATAATTAAAAAAAGTATATTAAAATATAAATTTAACCTTGTTACAATTAAATTAATTACTATGTATTATTAACAATAAATCTGCCTAAATAATACAAGTCTGCCTTTTAAAATTCTCAGAAATTAAAATGTTACGATGTTCTTCGTGAGACTGAATTGTCAGAATAAATCATAATACTTGTAAAATGCGAGCTAAAAATAAAACAGACTTTATTTAATCCGATTTAGAACGTTGTCTGTTCATCAAAGCTTCTATTGAAATAAAAAGTATTTTATCGATATCTTTAAAATCAAAACAAAGCATTTTCGGAGCCTAAAACAATTTCATGATAAGATTTGCCCATGGATTTGTTCGCGTAAAAATATATTTCAAGCATCATGGTTAGCATCCGACTTGCATCTGGAGCGAGTACCATCTACCACCTCCATTGGTTACCGTCCAGCGCGTCTCTTACTATACTATAACCGTCTAGAAATTAGGAAAGATGAGTCTGCCACTTAGTTGGACCATCTCATTAGAAAATGACTGTACAATATTTAGCCTTCGTTTCTCTCAACGAAGGTAATTTTTTCGAACTAGACTGTGTCCAAAATACATTAGTATGATGTTAGCATATGAAATCTATGCATTGCTGCGTGTCTCGTTTTATTACACTCCCATTACATTATAATTTCTGATGTGCATGTTATAGACTTGCAATAGGTGGAACTAAAGTTACAGTTGCATTTAATACGGTGTCTTCCCCTTTTGGGACATAGTCGTCAATGAATGTGTAGATGTCTTCCTCCGAGCCTCTTTCCCAAAGTAGGTTAGGGTCGTCTTTAAGTCTACTACGATACGACTCAACTTTCGATTCATCATCAGACCTCTACAACCTAAGGACCTATTTTTTTTTAAGTTATTGCATAGCTTCTATCGCGGGCTTTGAGCGTGAAGACCGAATCCAGAAATTCCGTAACGAAAATAACCTAACACCCGCCACTCCGACCGGTACAGCGGTGATACTTTTTAATTTTGCTATCTATCGATGAATAGCAGAAATTTTAATGACTTTTTTGAAATATCACGCTTTGACGCGGTATTTTCCAGATATTTAGAAGATATCAAGTCTCAAACTTATGTTTCTTATTCCAGTTACCATTAACCTATAGTTTCAATGATAAATATTCCTGAATAACCTACATGTATTGTAAGATAATAAAAATATTTTGAACAATAGTAACTTCTCATTTATTTAATAAAAGAAAAAAAAATGTTTTCTTATCGGTCACCACGCTCAAAAAGTGTAACTTGAATTAATATCAAATAAAAAAAATACTGCATAAATAAAATAAATAAATAATTATAATTGCATAAGTTGATAAAAAATGCTATGCAACAGCTTTACGGCGTCAGTCTCCGAGTGCCACACGTCTTTTTTATTTATTTATTTAACACTTAAACAGTGTAGGTAAATAACATTTTTGGTTTTATGGTACTGTGAAACCACTAAGGTTTATAGTAAGTACCGTTAGTTCATGTACAGAAAATGGTCAATACATAGTATTTGAGAAATACATTTCGATATTTTATACAAGGGACGTACATAAATAAAAACATTTGGGGCAAAAAATTGAAAGTAACATTATACTAGCTAGGATAGCTTAGCATACTTAGCTTAGACTCTTTAGGCCTCCAACTGCCTGTAACGATAGGCACAGATGCTCGTATGGCAAACGGGACCAACGGCTAACGTGCTCCCAGAGGCATGGAGGAATTTCAATATGTTAAGAATGGTGGTTACCATAGACTCCATTCATCCTACCATTCATAGACAGAGCTTTCTAGGATTGCTTAACTTTGCAATTTTTAACCTACTCGTTTACCACTTTACCAGGAGTATGTGTCAATGTGTAGGCAAACATTCTTAATAACCGAATACACAGTATAGCATAAAAAATACGAAAGGACAAACAAACATTGAACAATAACAAACAATAACAGATAATTCATTTTATGAAACACTTCACAAGTCAACTCAAATAATTCAATAGTAGCTCTGTTTCATTTCATGATTTATTTTTATAAGAGGGCTTTACCTTTACGAAATAAATTTATTGTAAGAAGAGTTTTATACTGTTCATTTGTTTTTCATGGATATGAATCAATGAGAATTTTGAGCTGTAGGAAGATTGCCTTAAGCTTGTTTAGATTTATATTGGCTGTAACACAATCACAGTGGCTTTGCTCAATTTCATACATATGTACATGCGCTCACGCACTATAGTTTAAGTTGAAATACAGAAGTGATCCAATTTTAATATTGGTAACTCTTCCCTATATTTTATTATTGCACTATTCTGTCGGTTTCCTGTAGTGAGTCATTATATTATTCACATTTAAAGTAATTTCATTTATTTTTATATTTAACCTATTTCAATATTTCAATTTAATTTATTTTCTAGATTAACTTGCTGTCCTAGGTATCTGTTATGAATATAAACATACAAAAATTGAATGCAGTTATAATAAATCGTATGATTATTCCATACTATGTCAATACGAGACCAAACCTCATTCACATATTTATATACAAGAATAAGTTGGCTAATTCAATGTTAATATAAATTTTTACATTACAATGTTAATATAATACAGATACAGAATACAAACATAACTTGGGTTAGTCTAATACAAATACTTATCTTACCATACAATGATGCTAATTCTGTTGTTCGAAAACTATCTAAACTAAACTAAAAATCAGTAAAAATTTTGAGTTGACTTGATTTACATTTTAGTTCAAAAATGTAAACGTAAATATTTACGCCCTGTGCAGATTGTCAAAAGTTGAAAAATATTTAGGCCAACATACCTGTCGGTCCAGTGGTTAATGACCCTGAACTGCTAAACCAGAGGTCGTGGGTTCGATTCCCACTTGAGCACGATCATTTGTTCTGTGTCTGGGTGAAATTTATCTCTAACATGTAATTAGGAATATTTAGGTATGTTTATCAGCAGTCTAGGTATCAAAGCACTGGCTCTACCTAGTTTGGGATCACACTGCTGTGCTGTGCGAGATATGTGAAGAAATATTCATTTTATTTACATCAACATCCTCAACAGCTTTTAATAGTCCACCCTGGACATAGGCTTCTCCTTAGAAAGGAGGTTTTGGCATACTATACCACGCTGGCCAGACGGGTTGGTATAGGATTTGTGTCAAGTTTTCCTTCTTTTTGAGGTGCTGGTATCCTGCGTTGTTTTGCACCCTTAGTCGGCTTTTACGACACCCACGGGATGAATTGGGGTAGTGACATTCCGTATTCTTAATACGTTACTACACGGACTCTATGTTAAGGAAGCAAAATGAGTTCGGAAAAAAGAACAGTGTAGAAGTGACATCATAGCTATTGTTGTTTAAAATCAACTAATTAAAATTAATCAAACCGAACCCTTGGTACAAAATTTAATTAAATAAATAACATACAGAAGCTATAAAACCGCTAAACATCAAACCTCGAAGCAACTCCTAACCATAATGCTTTAATAATACTCTTTTACAAGTATGGCGGAGTATATTAAAATCGTTCCTAGGAAAAATATTTTAATATAACATAAAAATATGAATATAGCCGCCACCCTTATAACCTTTTGTTATGAAACAGATAGCATTAGAATAGAGCTAGAATTGGCTGCACGAATGGCGTAGTGGTTTAAGCGGTCACCTCGCCGCTACCTACAGCGGTGAGTGTCGTGGGTTCGATCCCCGCATGGGACAGCACTTTGTGTCATCCACATATTATTGTTCTGAGTCTGGGTGTTCTTTGTGCCCGTTTCACGTGTGTTTGTAAAGTCCCCCGCGACACAGGATTTATTCCTAGTGCGGGAGTTGTCTTTTTTAGAAAGAAAAAAAAGAGCTGTTTTATAAGTATAGACTCAAAACGTATTCAATATATAAAGGCCACTTAAATATAAGAAACATTTAATCTTATTACTATTCTAAATGCGAATATTTGTAACGTAATAATGCCAAAACGGTTGAATAACAGATATCGAATTTAATCTAGAATAGTACACAAATTTCCTTTCTTCTCGAAAAATTTGATTTAGAAAACCTGACATTCCAGCGAGCGAAGTTGCGAGTTAATTTAAAGCTGTCCTTTTTATTTAAAGAATGTTTCTTTACCGACTTTAAAACAGAAAAGAGGAGGTTCTCAATTCGACTGTATTGTTTTTTTTTTATTTCACAGCTATATTTTAGCTGGTACCCGCCATCGCGTGGAATTTGAAAAGCGGTGCATTAGTGGGTTCGATACCCGGACCAGGAAAAATTTTAAAGGGTTTTCTGAGACATAAAATAGCCTTAGTTATTCCTTATGTAGAAAGATACCTGGTAGTAAAATATTATCGAAATCGGTCCAACCGTTTACAAGATTACCCGGAACAAACAGACAGACAGACCGAAAAAAACTGGTTTTTAGGCATAGGTATCGTGCAAATAACCATGTGAGCATGAAAAAAACCCATAATTTTGACATTACAAACAGATATAGATAGTTCAACTCAGTTGTGCGCGCGGCCCTATGTGTGCGTGGGCTTGTAAATATACAACTTTCATTCGTGTGGCAGTCGTCGTCCGACTGCCGCGTCACTGCCACACTGCGCGCACAACTGAGTTGAACTATCTATACTTCAATTTTATTTATTTACTAGCTGACCCGGCAAACGTTGTATTGCAAAACAAAAAAAAATTAGGAATGGGTCACCCTTACCATTTAGGGGTATGAAAAATAGATGTTGAAAGATTCTCAGACCTACCCGATGTGCACACAAAATTTCATGAGAATCGGTCAAGCCGTTTCGGAGGAGTACGGGAACGAACATTGTGACACGAGAATTTTATATTATATAAGATAAGATATAGATTCAAACACGTATTTCTGGTAAACTTTTTGTCTGTGTTGGTGGGCCTGTTGGTCACTGAACAAACAGGCCCGCCACTGGGTTAGTGACACTGCATGCTAAGCCGGAGTTCGGAGATTAGATTCCCACCCAGGACAAGCTACTAGAGCAGGGACTTGAACTAACCAGATCTTCTTGGTTTACCTAACTGCTTTTAAATCTCTTGATACCAATTCAAACATCTTAACTGTAATAAATCTCAAGATTTATTCCTTTTATTACTTTTACCTTTTCAGGAAAAAGCCACAACCCATTCTACCATTATAAATACATTCCGTAGTTTAATAGAAAATTTAAACAATTTAATGAGTTCACAACTGTTCAGCGTTATTTCATTGTTATTTTAACTTGAAGTTTTTGTTACAACAAATAATTGTTTTAGTTATGCACGGCTGGAGTTGAGTGGCACAGATTTAATTAAGTGCAGTTGGGTTCTACGATAAGTGGATTACGTAACGACTGTTTGTTTTGTCAAATATGTAAATGAACAATATTATTTTTTAACCGACTTCAAAAAGGAGGAGATTATCAATTCGGGTGTTTAATTTTTTTATAGA